GGGGGGGTGGATCCTGTGTGTGTGTGTGTGGGGGTGGGAGCCTGTATGTGGGGGTGGGAGCCTGTGTGTGTGGAGGAACCTGTGTGTGTGGGTGGGTGGGAGTGTGTGTGGGTGGGTGGGAGTGTGTGTGGGGGGTGGGAGCCTGTGGGAGGAGGTGGGAGCCCAGTCTGCCCCAGCACTGAGGTGCATGGTTCCACTCGGGAGTGGAAGGAGGGAGCCAGCAGCCCGAGGTCCCAGGTGCCGCCGTCTCCGGGCCCCCAGGCAGCGCCTCTGCAGCAGTGCCTCTCTCCAGGGCGCTCCACGGGCAGCCTCAGCCAGGCACGGTCCCGGGAGGGATGGGATACGCTCCACTCAGGCGTGTGCTGCCCTGTGTGTGCGGTGAACCCAGGGCCAGTCTGTGCCGCAGGACTGCAGCCCTCAGAACCAGCGGCTGGGACGACAGGGGCTCTGCTGTGGGTCTCCTGCAGATCTCAGCGCGTGGCGCGGCATGAGCTCTGAAATGAGAAGCCGCACCCAGTGCTTTGGGCCAGCGTGATGCCTTCTGTGGGCCTTAGTGTCCTCTTTAGTAAAACCGGGTGCTGGGTGCAGCTGTGCCCGGGTTGCTGCACAGGAGGCTTGTGATTGGAGGAATGATGGCGACCGCCTGTGTCGGGCAGTGGTCCTTCCAGCCGGCCATCTTAGGGATGCAGAAACAGGAGCTCTAAGCACAGTGGCTGGGGACAACTGGCCTGGGCGGGCGCAGGCCTTCGCTGCTGAGCTGCAGCACCAGTCACGTGCCAGTGCTGGAGACGGCTCGGTCGTCCTTCTCAGCTCCTCGCAGGGAACCGTCACCTCTTTGCACTCGAGGGTACCTTGACTTCACATGGGATGGGGCCACTGTTTTAATGCAACCCGTCTGTATGTTGGGGTTCCTTGTCTTTCAGAGGCTTATGATGCCTTCCAGCCTTGACGTGCTTACACTAAGCTTTGAGATTGTTCAGTATAAATCTCTCCCTTTTGCAGGGAGAATAAACCAACAGGCAAAGCAGTGCCTAAGCTCACTCAGAAAAGGAGCGCTAGACTCAGCTTCAGTCGGCCTCCAAGGCCTCAGACCCCCCCAAGTCCCTCCTGCTGCGAGGGAGTCCTTCCAAGAAGTCAGGGCGCTCTGTGCCCCTGGGCAAACTGGCACAAGCAGAGCAAAGCCCAAGGGCGCACAGTGCTCTGCGGAAGTCTGTCTGTAAGCAGGGACAGCTGCCCGTCTCCCACTCCTCCTCAAGCAGTAGTCTAAAGGCAAATTTGGAGGCAGTGAAACCTGTATTTGCGTTTTGCG